AAGCTGAACATGACTTCAGGCAGATGTGTGGATTTTGGTTTTAGTGCAAAGATTTACCTGGTGTTAGAACCAAAGCTACACCTGAGTGTGTTGCATCTCAAGGAGGACACACAAATCCAAAGATGCTGTAGTGAATCTCCAGGTAAATACAAGGTGCTCTGGTAGAAGCTGAAATGGTTACTTAGATACGAGGAAGCTGCTGGGCTGACCTCAGGCACACTATAATGGAAAATAAAACGCCGGCCGGTCTTCCTCAGGGCGTGGTTGGAAAGGAAAGTAAACCAGAGTGAAGCGTCGTGATTCGTTATATAGACAGATCTCACCTTACCAGTAGGCTATATAGATAAGATATTAATTATCATATCATATGATTATGTTCAATAAAATGATAGTAATTTTTTACCGTACCATTTTAAACGATAATGTGTAAGCCAGTTTACAAGAAAGTTCTGAAATCTATTTTTAAAGGCTCCGGGTCTCTGGCTGCTATGGCCGTGTTTGAGGACCGCTACAAGCCTGACATGGAGGTGAGTCATTATTTATATTCATGGTAAATACCACAGACTGCCCTGTGAAGTGTCTGATGATCCCAGACTGACCGCCTGTAACACTTCCTGTCAAAGGAGGAGGACGCCAAGCGGCTGGTGCGTGACGCCATCGCTGCAGGTATCTTCAATGACCTGGGCTCTGGCAGCAACATCGACCTGTGTGTCATCTCCAAGGGCAAAGTGGACTACATCCGGCCCCACGATGAGGCCAACAAGAAGGGGGTCAGGTGAGGACCATATCAGTGATGCTTCTAGAACTGTACTTTAATTTCATTTCAGTTTGTTGATGCTGAACTGAGGGAAACTCATGTTTTCAGTTCCAGAAACAGAGATGAAGTTGATCTGTTCTCTGGCAGCTTCTCTCTGTCTCCTCCTCTCACACATTTCATTACCTCACAGTCGATATCGAAGCTCATTAATGTGCAGAGATTAATGTCAGGAGATTACAATCTGGTCCACATACACACACTTTGATATTTCTGTGAATTCACTGGATTAAAATGGATGTAGCTCACCTGGTGGAGCGTGTCCCATTAAGGCCGAGTCCTTGATGTAGTATGCAGGGTTCAGACCCGGCCATTTTGACAAAGCCCTCTGCTGCATGTCGACCCGTCTCTCTCTCCTCTTATGTTCCTGTCTGTCTCTCCTCTTCACTGTCACAGTAAAGCCATTAATGGCCAAAAAATAACTTAACTAAAAACTCGATCTTCCATTTTTTTTTTTAAGTGTTGCTATGGTGAATCACAGTATCGAAGAAGAACCAATAGCAGCTGTTCACATTTTCATAGTTGAGGAAGTGGTGTTGTGTCTCCACCTCTGCATTAACAGGCCGTCATCACAGAGCATGTTTCATCGTTAACTGGACTCATTAACTCTCCATCACATGATGAGCTGGTGGTGACTCCTTGTCTTGTTGCTTGTTCTGTTTAAAGAGTGATTGAGCTTGACGCCTTGCAGCTGTGAGTACAGATGTTGAGTGTTCTGGTGCCGCCGCCTCTCACTGATCTGAACCTACTAATAACCAACTTTTTTTATTTTGATTTTTTTAATCTAGCCACTTACTTAGTTTGACTTTGGATAAGCCCAGTGTGTGGTTGTGTCTTTGGGTGGTTGTGTTGAGTGGCGTGCCGTGCTGATGATAACATCTCTGATTAAACAGGCTCCATCCAACACTTCACTGCTTGAATTGAAACTCCATTATTCCACGTGTCTCATTTCCCCTCATGTAGAACTGGTGACTACAAGTACAAACGAGGAACCACCAGTGTGTTGACGAAGAAGGTGACCCCCCTGGACCTGGAGGTGGTGGATGAATCTGTACAGACTATGGATACGTCCTAAAATACTTTGACCATGTTTTCTTGATGTAACTCACCACCCGTCAGAATTCCTAATGCAAATGGCTCCTTTTTCCATGATTTACAATAAAAGTGTTTGAGTTGGTTCATGTTTTGTTCTCTTGTCTTTAAATTGTTGAACCACAAATAAAACAGGTGAGTCAGTTTTAACAGGACCACGAGTTCAAAGCTGCTGGTTTGTAAGTGTGTTTCAGCTGAGGCCTGGACGATAATCAAGTTCAACACACCCAGGATAACGTTTAGTTAACTGAACCTAACATTGACCGTACTGGATAACCTGTACTGCCAAGCAAGTTATCAGCTGGTTCGGTTAATACTGTGTTTACCTGTCCAGGTATGAGCGCGTTCACATGAAAGAGGCAGAGTTGTTAATTATAACCAATGTCAGAGCCATGAATAAAATTCTTATATGAAAAGAAACACTGAGACCTGCAGGTAAATCCAGTCATCATGACGTCATAAAGTGATATTCAACAAGGTGAAATGTAACGATATGATCACGAGTGGAATGAAAAAAATGCTTTCTATAATTTCTATTATTAAAGTCAGACTGAGGATATATTGTAAGTAAGCACAGGAGTTAGGAAGTTTCTTGAGTATTTTGCTGCCTGGTTACACTGACTGAGATGACCATTTGATCTGAAGCCTCATATTAACTTCAGATTCACTTCAGAATAACACAGAGGGTTTTGACTTAGAAACGACCTCAGGGGCAGTAAGAGCAGGAGGGATGATCACAGCAAGTAAAACATGTTCATACCTGCTTATTGCTTTAAAACAGACCTGAAAAAAATACTAAACTCATTTAATGTTTGTTATTCACAACCAACGGAAGAGCGAGGGAGAAGTCAGTGAAACGGGGGGGGGGGGACAAAAATGCATCAGATGGTGTTAATATCTTCAGGCCTGTACGTGTAACTGTAACATGTTTCACTTATTGCATGTGGATATTGTTCACTGTGCAGCAGGTTGAGTCTTTGAAAATGAAAAGTCGAATTCTATTTTCATTTTCAAATTGTTAGAGAATTACAGTTTGACTTACTGTGACTTATATTGTTTACATGTGTAGAAAATCAGGTGACATTATTTATATTACATTTTTGATTTTCAAATTTGAATTAATGTGAAATTGTCAAAATTAACAGCTTTTCCATTTTCATTTTAACATGATTATAGAAGATGAATGAGCAAATTTTATTATTTTCATTAGATCCATTTTCATTTTTACGACAGAGTTTTAGAGCCACACTGAGGAAAAAAGAAATCTGAAATTTTGAGAATAAAGTTGTAATATTATGAGAATTAAAAATTAAAAATTTCAAGAGAAAATTTTTTTTTAGGAATATTACATCAACCAATCAAACAGGTGACAGTCAGTGTCAGCTGCTGTTTGTCTAACTATAGAATAAACTCAGTTTCTTCACAATATTTTCAATGTTCTAATGATGATGATGATGATGATGATGATGAGCTAAAAGATGAAGTTTCTCCTTATTAGTGGAACCTCTGCTAAAGTAGAAAAGGTTTAATTCATTAGTGACAATGTTGAAGTGACTGACTGACTTTGCATGTTTCGACACGTGAACAAGGTTTAGATTGTTTTACAGAGTTTTGCACAGGTGATTTAGTGTTCTGAGATCTGCATTAAGAGTTGTGAGAAAGATGTTTCTGATGAGTGAATTGCATCAAAGCGATTGAGAAAAACTGTAAAAACAGGATCTGTCCAAAAACTGAAGCAGCAGAGGTTCAGATCCCGACCCAATAATTTCTTTACAAATATATTTACAGGGGAGAGAACAACCAATGATCAGCACTTCCTGTGTGAGTGTAGTACAACACTATGACTGAGATCTTCAGAATTACAGGAAAGAAATCCACAAAAAACAAATCAACTCAAACTGAATATTATGAGTGTAGGATTTATTACAGGGCTTTTATTTTGTCAGGGTTTGTGTCATCAAACAGGAAGCTAAGATCAAACCACTGATTGGCTTGTATTGTGAGAGTTGGCTTGCACTGGATTTGGTCATGTTGGAACTTTCTTGACTTCATTGTTTTATCCTCTTTAGTGTCTGGATGAAAAATGAAAACTGAAAAACCTCAGAGCAGTCTGTCCTCTCTGCAGAGCTCCGGTCTTAACAACAACACCTGTCAATTAGTGGCTTATATTCACTTTCATTTTCTTTTAGCATAGAATCATTTGCATCAAATCTTATTTGAAAGCAGTTTGACTGAAATTCTTTTTGATCTTCTTCTTGGTCTTGACTTAAACATTTTTGTCAAGTGATCTAATAAAGACTAAAACTAAAACTAAAACATCCAGAGTTTTAATTGAAAACGGACTAAAAAGGATGAAGTTGACTAAATATGACTGAACCTCACGGAGAGTTTTGATCAAAGGTCTAGGACTAACACTAAATCTAAAACAGATGACAACATGAACACTAGTTTACTCAGTTGAGATAGTTGTCATTGACAACTGAGCAAACTTCATCTGCTAATGGAGATCATGACATGTCCCATACAGAAATGTAATATATGATATATACTGTATGTCCCTATATATACATCAAGATTGACGTGGCTATATATGACACTCCCAAGCAGATATGTTATTATCACATATAAACATCCTCTGGATAGAAAATATAAGTTTATAACATACAGTATATGAAATACCCATAGTAAAATTTGCATATGTACATATATTAAATTATCTATGATGATTTTTTATATGGTATCACATTTTGTGACCATGTTAACAATGTACAGTATTTTTTATTTTTTTTTTTTATTTTAAATATGCAGGTTTATTAAAACAACATACATATAAAAATTCTCTAAACACATTTCTTATTAATTTCTCATTATTTTAAACATGTCGATCTCTCCTTTCAGGGACAGTGGTCTCAGACTTTTGGACCCTACTGTATATAATATGAACATATACTGACAGACTTTGGGATGGATATATATCTATGTAACATATGCCTACAATATAAGCATACAGACATAAACATGCATACACATAATTGTATGGGCTAAACATACATGTCAATATATGAAATAGTTCCAATTTCTAATAGGTTTTATATATAGCTTTTACATACATGTTTTTATTAAATATGTGCATATATTTCATATATGGAAATGCATATATTACATTTATGTATGGGGTGGTTGTAAGCTGTGGAAAATGCTAAAAGCTGGAGAAAAAGCTGGAGATCACGCCGTCAAGCAGAGCAAACAGGCGCTGAGCTGTATAATGAGAAAATGAAAAGATGCTCTTTAGATACTGGGCCTAGAAAAGTTCACCCACCACCGACACACTGACATAAATGTACAGTATCACATGTGAAGCTGACTCACCTCCATCACACCAGACTGATGTAAACATATAGACAGAGCAGTCTCTCTCAGAGGGATGTGACTATTTGCTAATAAGTATTTACTAATTGTCCCTTTAGACCCCTAAATTATAAAACAACGTATGATATGATTACAATGATAAATGATAGATGAGTAATATTCAAATCTCCCAGCTCCACTGCGTACTTCACCTGAAACACAGAGTGTGAACATGGAATGCAACCCCAGTGGAGTGATGGAGGAAAAGCCTGTGTGGTGGAGGTGAGATGCAGCTCTCTGTCCTCAGCTGAAGAACAGGCCATCAGTGCAGTCACCCCTTTAAACCAACAAGAGCGGTGTCATAAACTTCCCTCCAGTGCTACACCACTAACGCATCTCTTCACGTCCTCCATGACAGTAGACCGTCCACTGGTGCGAGTCTTTTCACCGTTTCCTCCTGTCGAGACGAGGGTAACAAACACTGTTCCGCCAGACCGGGCAGAGCTTTACGTCCGCTGGTTTCAGGTCCTCACACTGAGCAGAGAAGAGGCCTGCTTGGAGCACGAGTGGCGCTCAGGTGCTGGAAGTCCACATGTGGATCTGTTTGGCGATCTGCAGCACGAAGACAATGTCCGGCCGCTGGTCTGGGTCCGGGTTGATGCACATGCTCACCAGGTTCCGCAGCTTTTAAGAGAGGCTGGATTAGTTTACAAGGCTGATGTCGACAAATCCCTTGAAGAGATTAAACCAACAATGTGTTCCCTACTCTACCCTACACTATCTCTGGCACAAGCACATTGAACCTTGAAGTCAAAAAAACTAAGTGCAAGGAGTGCTGCTTGGGTGTGGGAAAAATGCCATATGACTGCCTGGACCTATCATGTTACAACTTCTCTGTCCATTCTGCTCGTGCGACTAATGCTACCTTATAAATGGAAGAGCCCAAAGGTGGCCATTTTATACTTGCCCTGATGAAGGCCTAAAGGCTGAAACATGTAGGCATGTTTTTATTGTTGTAATGAAGTCATGAGGAGATAAAGGCTTTTTAACCCACCACCCTCTTGAGTGCCTCAGATTTAGCCAAGAATCCACATTAAACCTTTGTTTTTACAGGTTCAGTCATTTCCTACAACAGCTGCTCACTCCAGGTTTTATCAAACGTTAGTCCAGAGGAGGAAATGCTACATTAGTTGGGGAATATTTTCACTGGCGGATTAATCCACAATTGCTGCTCTAGTGATTGTTTTTTTGAGTCATATAGGAACAAAAATTTTAACTAGATAGACAGATAGATAGATAGATAGATAGATAGATAGATAGATAGATAGATAGATAGATAGATAGATAGATACCTTCTCAGAGTAGTGGTCGGGGGGGAGGGGAGGGTAGTCACACCGCTCGATCTTCTGGCAGAGAGAGAGGAGGTTCATCTTGTCCCCATAAAATGGACTCTGCAGAGCCGCCATCTGAAGGAAGAGGAAGACGGACGGAGGGGAAGAAGAACTGATGTGGGTGCAGACAATGAACACTGGAAACAAAAATGTCTATGAAGCTCAACTAGCACCACCTTTCCCCAGGGACCTGATAACATTGTTCTTGACTAACATCCAAGAGATTAAGGGCTTAATTAGCGAGAAAAAAAATGTTTTTCTACCTCGTTGGTGCTGCGGCCTACAGTCAGTCTGAACACTGATTGGTTCAACACCATACAGACGAAGACAGCAGTTCCTTTTCCAACTCACTGCTCACTAAAAATGTTGGCGGCCCACATCTGAACCCACAACGATATGGAGGCCGACATTCTCAGAGCTCTTTTTATTTTGATCATAATCATTAGACATTCAGGACTGAACTGAAAGTAGGAAAAATGTAGGAATCTTCCCTTTGAATATTCTCAGTTCATTTCAAATTGTTTTGGTGAATTTTCCATCAACATTCATGTCAGTGCAGCTGCTGTAGAGACTAACATGGATTTTATCAGATCTGTTGCAATGATCAAACAATGATTTGGTTCAAATGTGGTGTTAATGGTAGTGTAGTAGTGTTATACAGCCAAGCATCCAGCACAGCTGTTGTCAATCTGTATTTCAGAAGAGGAGATCAGTCGTCCTGACGTTGTTCAGCTGATTCACTGCGGACAGACGTCTCTACTAAAAACACAAATCACTCTCACACATTTTACCATACACCTCTGCAGAGGAAACCCTTTTTTTTTGTATTTTGGGATGTAATAAACTCTGCAGTCTCAGGGGTCACTGGGCGCTGAGCTTCTTTCCTCACAGTGTGAGGAGGTTAAAATTATTATCTGTAATTTTTCCACATTAAAATGTCTAAAAACAACTGGACCTGTGTTCTATATGTTGTTGAGTTGTGTTCTTACATCATCTCAAATGTTTCCATCAATTCTCAAACCAGAGGAATCTGTGATTTTAATCATGGTAACGTTTCATTGGTCGCCTGTCAGTGACATCATATCCCCTATGATCATGTGTCAGTGTGTTTGTCTGACAGAAGCTCAACATTGACTTTTATCTAGTTTTAAGCCACATACACTTTTTCCACCTTGGTGGTTTTCAGCTCTGTATTTGAACCAGATGAAGGATTTTAGTCGTCGGACGTCTGGATCTGAAGTTATCAGAGAAACAAGCTGAGGAAATGTTTGTTGTGGAGAGGAGGACACCTCTGTGGATCATTCAGCTGCTGGTAAAAACCTGCTGAACGTCTGCTTCATAAGTTATCAGAGGAACAATCAGAACAAAGGTTAGCATCGATCTCAGCTCCAGCTCTTCCCTGAGTCTCTGTCCTCCGTACAGCATCGCTCAAACTCTGACTTTAACGGTTAGAATCACCAGGTCTGTTTGATTTCCTGAACCACTGACACTGAAGGAATCCAAACCGGGAGGAGTTTACGGTAATGGTGTTGAAGACAACAACTCCCACAAAGTGTGTGACTCACCTCGTACAGGAGACATCCCAGGGACCAGATGTCTGATTTAAAATTGTATCCGTTCTCATGGATCCTCTCCGGTGACATGTAGTAAGGAGTCCCCACTGAGACAGAGAGAAGTCCATATAAACCCTGACTGAACACACTAACACATGACCTGACATGAGATCTATGAGATTATATCTGCTGTCACACTGTGTGTGTTCATGTATGTGTGTTGTGTAAGTACATGTGTACACGTGCTTTACCTAAGGAATGAGCTGCAGTGGTTTTAGAGCTGAAGAAGCGGCCTAACCCCAGGTCACCCAGCTTCACCTCCCCTGTGGCTGTTATGAACACGTTGGCTGGTTTAATATCTGGTTCACACACACACACACACACACACAGATATACACAAATTTAAACCAGGGAATATCCGCACCTTTAACATCCATCATGCTGTGTTTGTAGAAAAAGATGAGGATGTTTCTCTATAATGACACATGTTGCCTTCCTGTGTTTGAATTTTGACTGCAGAATAAACAACAGTAAAACAAGAACGAGGCTGAGAGAGAGGATAAAAAATACTGATGCGGTGAAAAGAGCGGGAGGATGAGTGACAGGATTAAATACTGTAGAAACCAATCAGGAAACATGGAGGTGCACGGTGTAAATGAATCTGTGAGTAGCTGTTTACCTCGGTGCATCACTCTGCGTGAATGCATGTGCTCCACAGCACTGCACAGCTGCACAAAATACTTCCATATAGTCCTCTCTGGGATGAGCCGCTGCTTCTTCTTGAAGTACTGAACACACAGAGGGTGGAAGTGTTAGTTAGTCGAGGGGATTGCATTCTGGAGAGAATTCCTGGCTAATTCTGGGATTTCAATTCACTTTTCTGTTCAGTTCCTAATGTTTACACACTAGTGATGAACTCATCTGACTATCTTCATCCCTGCATGTAACACCTGTTGAGTTTTGGTCACTTGTCTTCATCTAGTTTGAGGTGTGTCTGACCTTTATCATCTGGGACAGATCTCCAGCGTCTGCCAGCTCCAGAACAATGTTGAGCTCATTGTCTTCGATGAAGGAGTCGAGGTATTTGATCACATTGGGGTGATTCAGCTGCTGCAGTGGATAAACAGGAGAGACACAACAGCTGTGACCATCAAGAAGCACAGCTGAAAGCGATGGTGTCCACAAAAATGCATCAAATCATCCGCACCAGTGGACACGTTTCAAATAAGCGTTTAAACGTGACCCTCTGCTTTTGTGTTTGTTCTCATATATTTATAGATTTACCTTCAGCAGGTCGATCTCTTTGATGCAGTCCTGACGGGCCTTGGCATCCATCATTTCAAAGATCTGCGGCGACAAAGATAAATAAATATGAATAAATATGATTTTTTTTTTTTCCCATCTAGCTTTATGAAGGAAAGTCTATTCCCATGTATCTATATGTTTGAAAAACTAATATACAAGCTGATAAACCACATTCACGTCAGGTATTATCAGAGTTTTCAAGCTTTCAGTGTCCACTGGGAGAACCAAGACTTTACTGATGGGCAGAGAGAAAGAGGAAGTATGGAAAACCATTACTGCCGCTGTGGTGGGAAAGATAGATGTTGTAGATCATCATAATGAGAGACTTTATCAAAACAATGCCTCAGTAATAATGACGTTCTATAATGCTGCATGTGATGTAGTTGTGTAGGTTTTGTGTTTAGTGCTGCTATGTCTATATACACTGTTTCTCATAAAGCTGGAATAAAATATTTTTTACCTCTTTCCATGAAATGATTGTGACAATGTGATTTATTCTTGACAGATAAAGTGTAAATCTTCTCAAAACTTTAGCAGTCAGTCTCTTCCAAAGTGATTACTGATGCACTTAAATAGGAATAAACAGAGGATTGTGTCTGAAAACAAAATTATTCCAACTTTATGTGTGTACTACTGTATATGAGACTGAACTTCATTGTTTTTTGAAAAGCAGTCGGCCAGCATGATTTTCAGCAGTGCTCCAAAAGCACATGTATCTTATCTTCCATTAGTAATGACAGAAAGCTAGCTGGTGTGCACACCTTCATGATGATAGTCCTACGTCAAAATATTGATAAAGTTTCTTATTATTTTGTGTCATTAGTTCTCATTGGCTGCTGAGCAGTAGGATTAAACCATTTCTGTATACAGGGGGATTTCCTGCCACTATTTAACATGCTAAAGATCCAATAATTTCTTTGTCCATTTCTTCCTTTTTTGTGTAGTATCGGTAAGCGAACCCATTCTAGCTTTAACTATTAAAAAATATTACCAATATTAACAACAGCAGTTGTAGGCTGCTCCTTCAATGTTGGTTTAGGATACAGACAATTGTGATGAGTGTCTGGATTTTTTTTTTTTTTTTTTTGTTATTTTAATTCATTAGGTCTGTGACCAGCAGGGGGCGTATTAGACTAAATCTTAATCCTGATGAAAAGGTCAAATCAGGACAGATTGACAGGAAGACTAGATTTCAAGTAGGTGCTGAGGTGTATGGACGACTGAAACTGCTAAAATCAAAAATAAATAAATCACTCAAGAAATAAATTTAATAAATTAATATGCCTTTAAATGCACCAAAATAAATATCAGCAGTATCAGACACTGTAATGTACCTGGACTTTCTTGAGTGCAACCAGCTGTCCCTCCAGCAGGTAGGTGGCTTTATAGACCTCACTGAACTGGCCCCGACCAATCTTCTTCTCAATGCGAAAGTTTGCCAGAGTGCAGCAGTACTTACAGCTGGGCATGTTTTTCTGTGCAACAAAACACCAAGTTAAAGTGTCATCATTACACAGCCAAACACCGCTCCTCTCCTGACACATACTCCAAGACTTGTCCCAGTTCAGGAGCCGCATCTTTCAGAGGCTGCATTTGAAGACCGACTGGGTCACAGCAGCGCCGCTAGACTGTCCCATCAAAGGCTCCTTCAATCAGCCTTCTTTACCTGGGCAACAAAGGCTCCAACAGGTGGATCATCCGTGGTCCAACCTATTCCAAGATTCATGATGATGATGATGATGATGATGATGATGATGATGATGATGAGCCAGAAGATGAAGTATCTCCTTATTAGTGAAACCTCTGCTAAAGTAGAACTTCACAGGATGCTCCATGTTCCTCATTTTAAAGCTTCTGATATTTCCCCTCTAAAATAACATGGAACCTAAAATTATAACTTTATTCTTGTCATATTATGATTTTATTCTCGAAATTTCCTTTTTTTCCTCAGTGTGCCCCTAATACTCCGTTGTAGATTTTTACTCTGATGAAACCTATATGAAAACTATAAATGTGCAATTACAAGTTATTTTAATTATCATTTTAAAATAGTTCCTAGTCGTAGCTAGGCGACAGGAGCAGCACTTTGCCAAAATCCTCCGTAGACCAGACCGGTTCGGCCTTTCTGGTCTACGACACCAACAAAGGGCCACACCCTCATAGACCACGTCCTCCAAAGGATGCGGCCCCTGAATTGGGACACAGCTCAAGTCTGACTGGCTCTCATGGCCTGATAAAGCTTTGGGGCTCCAGACATTTGGTGGTCTGAAAAAAAATTATAGAAGCCACTAAAACCTGGAACGAGGCTGACTGTGGCGAAAAAAGTCCAGAAGCCTGCATGTTATTGTTGTTGTGCAATGTTCATGTTTCATCACATCGAAGACACCTTATTACATCCTTTATAAATGGATGTAGCCTTGACCCGGAGGAGAGGTCATCAGGTGGTGTCCGACCTTCATGGAGTGTTTCGACCCTGACCACAACACTCTCCAGTTGGCGGCTCTGCAGTGGTGGCCAAGTCACTGCCCCTCTCCTCCAGGCTTCCAGCTAGTGTCCTCTCTCTTATGCCAGAGCCAACAAGAGGCTCTTTCCGCCACTTCCCCAAGCCTTCAGGCGGCTGTTTTCCTCTCGTGGTCCCTCACTCCTACTTTTGTCAGCAGATTCCATACGGATTGGATGGGAACAGCGACATCCCACCTCCACTGTGAACAACCATGTCGTCCACCCTCTTTCCCGACAATCGGACCGGTTGTTGGTACTTGCTCTTCTTTCTCTCTGCCGCTTCTTCACAGCCCTCTTCCCACAGAACTGTTTTTCCCTTCTGAGGACCAGATAGTGACATCTGGTCTCAGGGCTGTGGACAGAACCGCTTCCAGAAAGTGAAGTTTTCTGCCTAAGTCGACTCTCATCTCCCACCCCTGGCTTGTCTGCAACAGGGTTTGTTTGGCCTTGCGCTGGGCGACTGCTCTCTGCCCCTCTTTGATAAAGGTGAAGGTGCAGCGGTTTTGTTTTGGCTGGATGCTTCTTTCTCCTTTCCTGCTCTAGGATGTCTGCTAGCAACACCCTGTCACGACGCCATCTGTACCTCCCCTGGGCCAAAGCGATTTTTGCACCCTGACAAGATGTGTGCAAGGTGTGCAATATGTTGCAGTAAAATAATTAATAAATGACGTGTCTAAAACTCATTTAAAAGATATAAAATATGAATGTACTTCTTTTTGTTGAGACCCAGTGTGATGTGTACTTCTGATTGTGTCTTTCTAGTGTATATCTCCATATTTCTCAATTATTTATCCCACTAATGAGCCTGTGACGTAGTTGAGCTGCAAAACTTTTAAACTGTCAACATGTATGAAGCACCAGTGACTTCTGAAGCTTCATGTCTCAGTCTCAGTCTCAGTCTCAGTCTCAGTCTCTTCTTTACTTGACAGAACCTCCAACACGATGTGTTGAACAGGAGTGAAACCGAACTAACAGTGCCTACCAGCGCCTCCAAAGCGCAATGATAAAGTTAAATTATATCTCACTGTGGTTGTGGTTATATGAGGAATTATACTACTTCTTGGCCGGGAGCAGTGACTTCCTGGGGTCTCAGTGCTAGTTGTCATGGTGAGGACAAGATTTCAGGAAGTGACTGCAACCAGGCCAAGGAGTAGTCTGACCACCTGAGAAACCACAACTTGTCATTTTTTAACTTCAGAGTTCAATTAGATGTAATGTGTTATTGTGTCTTTAGTGAGATTTTGAAGCCGCTTTTTAGAACATGCAACATTCAGCTTTTTTCTCTAATATAATTACTGTTTAATAACACACAGGTGAGACGTCCTACCTGATCCTCCTGACCAGTTATCTTGTACAGATTGTTGTGGTTGTCTAAGTTGGGTTGGTTGTTGTTCTGTGCTTCCATGGTGGCATCACACCCGCCCACTGCTGCAACACGGAAGATTATGATTATTCATTATTCATTTATTCAGCACATTTCCAGACATACAGCAACTTTTTTTTTTTTTTTTACAGAGCATTAAAGAACAAAGTTTTAACTCCGGCGATGAGAGGCGGGTGAGAGGTGAGAAGACAACAGGCCGCATGTGGGTTCACTTAATACATCATCAGTGTCACTTGCTTTCTTGCTTCTTTAACTCTCATAAAGCCTATGCACATGGACAGTGTGTGTGTATGTGTGTGTAGGATTATGCATGTGCTGATATTTGCAAATTAAAATTCCTCACAGAGACCACACACGCTGGTCGTTATTTTATGTTCTCATCACTGACAGAGTGAGACCAACCAGAAAATCAGGAAATGATTTAATCAACTTGGTAACACTGAACGCTTTGATCGTAACACTCCTTAATACCAGGACAGCGCAGATCAATAGCAGGTGCACTGATCAAAACATAAGCAGAACGCTCTCAGAGAGCACACACACCCTCCCACGCTGCAGAACTGTTCACATGTGTTAAAGACCTACATCTGGATCTAGATCTGGGCCAAAACAGACCCCTTTTCTGGGATTCATTCACTTTTGCTTTATTATATAAGGCCAAAATTGTGAAACAAAAGTCACAATGGACAATCCATGCTGCCTTAGTCAAATCAAGAATGCATGGGAACAAGATCTGGGGACAGACCGTGAGCTATGGGACCATATTCTAGACCTGGTCCATTCTCCTTCCATATGTGCCCATCACAGTCCCATCCAATTTAAAACCCTACACAGAATCCACTATACAAATGCCAGACTGGCAAAAAATACATTCTAATGTTAGTGATATCTGTAATGTGGTCATTGTTCCTGACTCTTTATCTTAAATTTTTGGCAGAGAAAAAAATACATGTGGCATTTTGTTCTGTTGGATTTGTTTTTCTTCTGTACATAAATAACTTTTTTTTTTTTTTTAAAAGAGTCACGATAGCTTCATGCCTGTATGTCCACATAAAGCTGGTTAAATTAGTAAACTAATCTCCGCTCTTCGTCTACATTAAAACATGTTAATTTCCCCAGAGCAGCCTTACCAGTGTGTAAATCTGAAAGACTGACTTGGTGTTTCATTGGTGAACATTGACTTATTTAGACGTGGAGAGGCTACTTTATGTTTTCGTTGCACTTTTGCTCTGTGCAGTTACCTACCTACCATTCATCCAGCTACACCCCTATTACTTCATCTGTCTGCACTCTTGATCATGTATTTTGCATGTTTGCAAAAAGCTTGTTGTAAAAAGCAAGTGTGCATGGAAAAGAAAGAAATTTGCATTCTCCAGGACAAGAGTCACGATGACTGAGTCATAGTCATATAAATAAAAGATGTTGCCACTGAGTCTCATCAGATTTTTGTTTTCAGTTGTGCATGTTGCTGCAGCTTCGCCAGTTTATGAACAAGAGTCCACAGTCATGTCAGCTGCTCTGTGAGGCTTAGGCACAGCAGTGCTTTGAGTTAAAGGCTAAGCAGCATGCTAACATGCTATCATGACGCAGTAGTCATTTTTATCATGTTCATTATGGCCCTGTTCAGACTGGGTATTAACATTCATCTTGGATGATTTGATCACAAGTGGTCAGCTCTAAGTTCCTCAGTTCACACCTGATCTGATCTCGCTTTCCCACTTTATATTCAAATAAACAGGCATGTGTCTTTGTTTTTAACCAAACCAAAGAACCAAGGAACCAAAAAGGCCGACGGGTCTGCTGTCAATGTGCTTGTGTGTGTGTGTGTGTGTATGTGTGTGTGTGTGTGAGACAGAGAGAGAGAGGGAGAGAGAGAGAGAGAGTGGGGCACAGAGGGCCTGAGTGAATCATTGCTCCGCTGACAGCTCTACAGTGAAATCAGGTTTTATCCATTTGAAATAGTCAAATATTTTGGGTTCATTATAAACTGTGTAGGGACTAATCAGACTGTGTCAGAGGATGTCAGATCCACGCTGCTAGCATAGCGAAAATCCATGGCTACAATGATTTGGTAACCAGTAGAAATGAATGGAATATCACACAACATATGAACAACACTCTTTTTGCAATCTTTCAGATATGTTACTTAATTATATGTGTATGAGAACAGGTGAGAAAGTGTTTTCAAAAAGGATTCTGGCAAAAACATCAGTTCCATTGGCTGGACCTGTGCTGATAGGTTTGTGTTGAACCAAGGAGGACTGGAACCCTGAATCACCACGTGGTCATGGTTGTATGCCTCTGCCAGCAAGCCAAGTTGCAGGAAATGGTCACAGTCTCCCCTTCCTGGCTGTCGCCGGTGTGGAGGCATAATAATATTTCTAGAGTATGAGAGGAAAACTAAATCTAATCGCCACATGGTTCAAATGACTTATTCCTAAGCACAGGGACCAACTTTCTATCAAATTTCATTGAAATCTGTTGAGTAACTGCTGATTAGTGGCAGCATTGGCTATACCTGGAATCATAAAATACAATCATATAATTATATTGCAAAAAAGTACAGCAAGTATACAGCGAAGTACAAAGTACATACCGTAAACAGAGTACAAAGAAAATGAAATGATAATAGCTTTAAGCCACCTCAGTCACAACTACATACACTGTGAGCTAACTGCTAATCCACAGACACAAGTGAGGACTCATCACTCTCTCTGACAGTGGAGCTGAAGCTCGCTGGGTGCCTGCTGGTGACTCATCATGATGGAGACTTTGCTCTGGTTTTAACTGGAAATGCGAAGTCCATTTCCAAACAAATGGATCACTGAAAGCAAGTGACAGAGTGAGGTGGTGAGCCGCCACATCATCTGTGTCTTCCCCTTCTGACTGGCTGAGTCATCTGAGCGTGACCTTTGTGCCTCCTGTCTCCCGCTTTATTCAAATAAGGTCAGATTTTGAAAGCAGCATTCATACGTTCTGAAGACTCAACCTCTGGAGTTACCACTGCCAAGTGCTGAAGTATTAATGACTTGTTTTACCGCAAATAGCTGCTGAGATATCTCAGCTGGGTCGTGCTGAGACTTGCTCCCTGTACCAAAGCATTACGAGCGTTATTCTTCAACACCCCCTGCCGCCCATCTCTGATGAGTCAGGTTTAAGTATTTAGCTAATACTTGAAACCAGAGTGTAGAGTGTGCATGTGCTAACTTGAGCCCACCTTAACCTCCTCAGCGCCACTAACCATTAAAATGTTAGCAATGCCAACTGGGCCTCATGCCACGACTTGGGTTACACACAGGAACAGATCTGTGCTGCATACATATGTCAGGCTGCTGTTAATTGTGGTAATGAGGACTATGCTGTTGTTGGCATTCAAGACTAGGAAATCTCTCAACGTAGGACCGCGCAGCATGTCTACAGTACGCTGCCTGCCAGCTCTATGGTTTTCCATAGAGTGTGTGGAGGATTCCCGCTGAGAAAAACACTCACACCCCAAAAACTTTGCTGTGAACAAATGCCTTAGATTTGTTCTCTGGCTCTTAAACAATGTTTCGGCCAGGAAATTGTACAATACATTTTAAAACATGGCTCTGTTTCAATCTCTCCCTGTGAACATAAACCAGCCGGAGCAAGAGCAGGGAAAGATTAACGGGGGGGGAACGTATAAGCAACAGAGCCTACAGGCAGGAGGCAGGAGGATGGCTTTGTTAATGACACGTCTATATACTACTCAATATGCCCTTGGATACTTTGGAAGGCAGCACCACAAGCTATGACAAAACACATTCCCAAGAATCCAGACTTTACTTCTGACGGTTGATGTCACACTGTGATCCTGTGGAGCAGCCTGACTGGTTCTGTGTTTCTCTTGGACATTTACCGAAACTGACGACTCAACTGAGACTCAACAACCTGCTGGAAATGAAGAATGAAACTGAATTTGAATAATCAGTTTTGGTTTTCACTCCTGGCATCTGGTGCACATGCATCCTCACAGAGTCTTTAGATACAGTCTCATGGACTCCTGACTCCACCTGACCCTTGCTCATCACTGTACTTTCTAGCACATTGAATGGTCTTCTTCAACCTCCATCCCACTGAAGCATTGATGAATTTTTATCCTTTTTTTTTTGACTGACAGTCTGGACTCAGGAACTGAACGAGGGAATTTTCATTCACACATTTCGGTTTGAATGTTCACCACAAGTGAAAAATTTAAGATTAAACCAATTAGAAAGATTGACAAGATTAAGGTTGCTTTCTTCTGGTCTGATTCAGTTGAAGAGTTTTACAAACTTGCAGGTTCCTTTTGTTTACACACAGATAAAAATTCAGAAGAACCAAGATCCATCATTACAAACAAATTAAGAACGTTCACTCCCCTGATTGGTCAGATTGTCTGGAGCAGGAAAGTAAACACAGGAAGAAGGTTGCAGGCTGAAATCTGGCTCAAATCTGAGTTCACCTGCTAGTGGGGTCGGAACGAGTTCAGAACTCTGTCACACCAAAAACGAACCGCTCCAGAGTTTCGTTTGGGACCCGACCCAGACCACCTCCTCGAAAGGGTCTCGGTACGATTGTTTTGGTCTGCACCCGAATGTGATTACTGTTTTTACACCTGCCCAAATGAGTCGTACCAAGGGGGAAAACGAACCAGGGTTTGGTTTAAAAGACTAAAAGGCGCAGGTGTGAAAACACCCTGAAACTATTCCCTGTCTGTCTGTCTGTCTGTCCAAATTCTGAATAATACCAGGATAAAGTAGAGACTTAAGCCAGAGTGTAAGAGGTGCTTTCCAAAGATGCTGCTCATGTTAGTTCATTTCTGTTTACCCTGACCTGAGACACTAAGTCAAGTTGAACCCACACAGCTGTTTCCTCTTCCTCCCTCTGAAAAACAGTTCTGTGCTTCTTAAGAATGTTGCAGAAATTTCCAAAGAATTGGTACAAGGGAGATTGTTGACATGATAAACGGTCAGATGGAAAAAAACCTCTAATATTCTTATCTCTGTGACTGAGAGTGTGAAGATGTTTGTGCATGTGGGTG